GGGTGCCCTCCCCAGCAGTGATCAGGCCTGGAGCCCCCGCCCTTCGCTGGGCACAGAGCTGGGGTGGGGGCTCCCCACTGCAAGGAGCCCCACACCACCCGAGCCACGCTGGCTGTGGCTAATGATGATAACTTGGCTCCTGCTGGGTGCCAGGTATGGGGACCAGCCCTTTAATACACTGTGTTCTTGAGGGCTGATGGAAAGGGCATGAGGTTATTTCCCCTAAGAATGTGTATATGTGACCTGTCCAGGGTCAGACCCGGTCCAACTCCAAAGCCTTTGCTTTTCTACCTGACAGAAAGGTGATGAGAAAGAGCTGGAAGTCCAGGGAGCGAAGGCTCCACGGGTCTGTGGCAGCTCTGAGGGGGCTTCTGACCGCTCTTTACTACAGGGGAGCCACAGACTCCAAGACTGTTTTAATTATGGATTATGAGGAATTTCCAATACAGAGAAAAAGACAGTAAATATGACTGACACCCACACATCCACTGCCAAATTTAACATGTGTTGACATTTTTCAGTACTGGCTCAGAGCTCTTGGAAAGAAAGCAGGTTGCAGAGCCAGCCCAGGCCCCTCCTCACCTCCCTGCCTTCCACCCACCCCAGACTCCACATATCCCTGGACTGCCACTGAGATCCCTGTGCATGTTCTTGTATTTACCATCTGGTAAATATCAGCATACCGCAGGTCTTGTTACACGTGTTTAAAACTGTTACCCAGTTGCCATACTGCTGGAGCTTTGCAGTTCACTCAACAGATTACAAGGCCCACAGGCAACCTCAAACCCAGAGAGGCCAAGTGACTGCCAGCGGCTGCTCAGAAACACACCGAGCATGTCAGTTTCTAGTCTCCATTCACCTCCACACTCCTTACGAGCCTGCAACAAACCAGCCTGGGGTAACCATTAGCACAGTTTCCCTCCAAAAGAACAAGACTCTTTCTTATTCTCTGCTCCTGGCATGAAGACCAGAAAGGGGTTAGCCATGACCAGCTAAGGTAGTGGAGGCCATGAATAAGTAACTACATAAATCCTGTAGACAGTTCCTAGCCTCACGGAGCCTGGTTCTTACTGACGCATGTGGATGAACTACCCAATAATCCAAAGCTCCATAAGCATCTACTGGGTACATGGATGGGAGCATGAACGCTCAGCCAGCCTGGAGTCATGCATTTATTCCATGCATATCTTGGCAGAGAAACTTCATGAAGAAATTGACAGGGTGATTGGGCCAAGCCGAATCCCTGCCATCAGGGACAGGCTGGATATGCCCTACCTGGATGCCGTGGTGCATGAGATTCAGCGATTCATCGACATCGTTCCCTCCAACCTGTTCCACGAAGCAACCCGGGACACAGTGTTCAGAGGATACGTCATCCCCAAGGTCAGATGTGAGCCTGCGGCGCACCCCTGAGCACCACCCTGCCGATCAGCCGCCTGCCAGGGAACAGGACAGGGACCAAGGACACCTGCTCTTGGCAGATGCGGCTGAACACTGGGGGCTGGGCCAGCATCCCTACCCTGCAAAGTGCTGCTGCCCCGGCAGGCCTGTGGGGACCTGGTGACCACGGAGGCAGTCTGGGAAGGGGCTCCTCAGACGGTGCCTGGGGTTGAGGTGTCTTCCAGCAGCAGAAACAGACAACAACAGTAGCATCCATCCCTGGATGAGTAGGTCAGAGGAGCTACTTTCCTGAAAAGATGGGAGCCCTCATTGCCAGTTGGTCGTGACCCCCACCTGCTCTCTGCCTACCCTCAGCGAACACCTTCCCCGGTTGGGAACATACCATCTTGTCTAACGTAAAATTCAATGGCCGGCTCCCAGGTGAAAGCCTGTGCTGTGTTAACTTGACTGACCAAGGCAGCCTCTGTTCCTTCCAGGGCACAGTCATAATTCCGACACTGGACTCCCTCTTGTATGACAGCCAAGAATTCCCCGAACCAGAGAAGTTTAAGCCAGAGCACTTTCTGAATGAAAATGGAAAGTTCAAGTACAGTGACCATTTCAAGCCATTTTCCGCAGGTGAGAAGAGGTCATGTGTAGCCCCTTCCCTGGGGATTGTCCCTAACTCCTGCTCTCTGTTCCACGTGTGATCAGCATCGTGCCCCTGATTTCTGTCCCCGGTACGGCCCAAATGTGTTCTTCCCCGTTCAGAGAGGTTACATGACACCTTTTCTCCAGAAGTCCTGGGGATGCATTGAGATGAGTTCTTCTTTCCTTAGATAATTCAGTTCATTCAGTGCTAAAACTCTTCATTTACTAGAACTTAGTGAAAATCTTTCAAAACTATATTACCCGACTCTCCATAATTTTAAACAAGGGTTACTAAGCAAATTTTAACGTTTGGTTACCTGGACTCATCGTAGGACCATCTAACCTTTCCAGCCCTTGGCTGCCTTTCCAGGGCCTGCCCTTGGTGTGGGTAGGATGGAAGATCTGAAACCAATTCGATAGCTTTAACACCAACACGAGAGCTTTGGCTTCCACCTGGGGCCGCTCTTCTTTCCCGTAGGACATCAGGCTGAGCGCTGGGCAGGGCCCATTCTCCCAACCTAACACAGGTTCATGTAGCTGAGTCTGGTGGTTGGGGCTGTGTGAAGGCTGGTACCTGAGCACACCTGTCGCTGATACTCTTACACTGAAATCCACTCTGGGCTCCCTTTCAACAGACAGACGGGGGTCAACTCTGCTTAGGGTGGCCGTTGACGCACAGCCTCCTCCCACCCGGCTCTGCCCCTGCTGTGTCGCCCAGGGTAGTGTCTTACTGTTGCTGTCACCTCCAGGAAAGCGGGTGTGTGTTGGCGAAGGCCTGGCTCGCATGGAACTGTTCCTGTTCTTGGCCTCCATCCTGCAGCACTTTAACTTGAAGTCGCCAGTGGACCCCATGGATATCGACCTCAGCCCCATTGCAATTGGGTTTGCCAAGATCCCCCCCCACTACAGACTCTGTGTCATTCCCCGCTCACAAGTGTGAGGCACACGTTCTCTGAAGACCACGGGTCCCTTGATGCTGCCCTGGAGGCCTCCTGCTTCCCTGCGCCCCCTCAGCAAGGCTAGCCAGGGCTCCACAGGGAACCAACTGGGCCGGAGAGGCTGCTTTCCAGGCCAAGCACATTCTTCAGATAGAATTTGAAACAAAGTCCATAAAAGATTGTGTCAAACTAATTAAAGTAATTAAAGCAAACTGACTTAGTTTGTGTTGGAGTTCCTAGAAACCATGATAAGTAAGAACATATCAGTGTAGGTTAAACTAAACTCTTCTGCAAAGGTAGAGCTACCCAGTCACCAGAGTCAGCATCTCCTGTAAAGGATTCACAAAAAGGAGTATAGACACTATTTTGCTGTTTGGAAAAAATAAAAATAATATACCTTCAGAGGATTTGTTAGCCATATCCTAAATGTATCCCCTGACATCTTTACCTAG